TAGAAGTTGAAATATTTCAAGAAGCGTCTCCGCATCGCCATTATTTCCGAGAATTCACGATTCCTTTGTGATGCAGAATGCGCTCAGAATTTTGGCGCCAAAACCGACGATATTCCGGTGGGAAATGTACATCTTTAATTGCCTTAGACTCTAAGTGCGTGCGCGCGTGTGTGTATATATACGAGCGATATTGGGGGTGGGTTATCAAATTGGATGTCTATGTTAAAAAAAGCAAACTGGTTTAACAAAATGTTTATAAAACAACACATAAAGTAATATTGAAAAACAAATGTAGATTTCTGTTCACACTGTGCATGTGTTTGAGAGAGACTAGGGTGATCATCAAATTGAATGGAACATTTCTGTATCTAAAAAAAATAGTTGCTCCTAAAATATATATCGGTTTGACAATTAGAAATAAATCCAGGGAATTGAGAATTTCGTGAGTAATATTGAAAAAGTGTATCGATCATTATCCTTATTGCGCCCGTGTGTGGGTATTTGTGATAGAGAAAGATGGCATGGGGGAGTGGGTCATCAAATTGAATCGAAGATTTTCGTATTAAAAAAAAACAAAACAAAAAAACAGTGGTTTCTAAAATATTAAACCGGTTTGGCAATAATAGTACATATAAATCCAGTTGAAACCTCATGAGTAAAATTGAAAAGGTGTAGAGTTTGATCGTTGTTCTCTCTTTAATATTCCTTTAATACACTTGATTATGTTTGAGTGTACAGAGGCGGTCTAGACAATCTTTGCATAAGCATTGTAAAGTTTGCACAACCAAATTACGATTTCGACGGTTTCCAAGCCCCGGTGAGCAGAGCAAAGAGCTGTTCGTATTCTGCGCGTTTTAATTTTCCGCTCATACTCACAAAATATGCGTTCAGCGTCATAGCTCTTTTGCATATAAATATAGTAAGAGTCGGGGTCAACACAAAACTATTGACCCAGGAAAATCTAGTACATTTTAAATTTGCTAGCAATGCCCCAAAGTTCAGAATAACGTCAACAGTGACACCTACGAGTCGGATATAAAGTTGGTGAGGTCAGGCTCTTGACAACACTTTAATGAGACCCTGAGTAACTCCCGTATTCACAGGTACAACAACAGGTCTTAACAACACATAATCCCTATAATTGCTTCTTTTGCTTTAACGTGCTCTCCTCCCCAGGTAGCGCAGTAATTCAGTATACTCAAATCGATTAAACAACAATGTTACAGCAAATAGATATTCGATTGTAATAAATAAAAACAAATATATTTCCTTCTTGCTTGTTTCTGTGTAATTTTGAAAAGACTGTTTCATATCAAATGCGTTTATCACAGCCTCATATTTACTAGACAGGTCACATCGTTTACACTCCAGCTGATCTGGATTGTTGGGATCGTATTCCATTTCATCGCCTTGACCTTCTTTTGTGGTTTACGCGCAAGACACTGTCTGGATATTTTAAACCTGTCCGTCTTTTAGAAGATATGTGAACGGTTTCCATGCGGGCTGCAGAAGAGACGCGAACGGTTGCCGTGAAGTGGGCTACAGAATGGTTGCTATGGAAACTGCATCTCGTTAGCACTCGATGTATGAACTTCAAAATACTAATATTCTAACCGATATTAGACTTATACGGTGTAAATCGCTTATATATTGCGTAGCAAAGTATAAACAGTCGTCTTTCGACGGTACAGTCTTCCAGAGATTTGGTCGTACTCTGAATCGGGTCGTGTGTGCGTGTGCGCGATTTTTCAATTTATGATAAGTTTAGAATAGAAGCCACATTTCTACTCAATCTCATCTTTAAAAAAAAATAGCTATTGCAATTGCAATTACGTTTTTCTCACAAGTTGCTAGACCCGTGAAAACAAGTCGTTTGTCCACCCACATCATGACACGCTCCATACCATTCATTGCGAGATTCAGAAATGTAATGTTTCTGATATCAGGACCGTTTCCATAGAGACTGTAGCCAATTTTGATACGGCTCCCTTATTGCAAACGTTCAGTGACCCGCTGTAACCTTGTACGTCCGGTGCATGCGATGTCCAAAATTGAGGAAGGAAGTTTTCCAAATGAAACTTACAATATTTATACAATGATATGTGTCAGTTACACTTAAAATAAGACGACGCTCTGTGACGTCATTGTTCACATTTTTGTCAACTAGCTTGTGAA